AAGGTAATTTAATTTTCTTTCTAGGAAAGTTTTCCATGCCTTTCCTTAACGGAAATTGGAATCTAATATTTCCTTCCTTCATATCAATAATTGCACCAATTGTTCTAAGGAAAGGTCTACCAAGAATAATAGGACATGAAGGATTGCAATCTATGTCAAGAACAATGAAATCTACGGGCACATAATTCCTATTTGCAATAATAAGAACATCATTAATTCTTCCCATAGGTTTCTTAATAGTGGAATCCGCAAGGTGCAAGTTTAGAGAGCAATCATCAAAATCACGGAAACCTAACAAATCACACAAAGTTTTTGGAATCGTGGAAACACTACCACCCAAATCACACAAAGCATAGCATTCATGATCTTTAATTTTAATTTTAATAGTAGGTTCCCACTCATCATAAAGTTTTCTAGGGATAGAAACTTCCAACTCAAGTTTTTCTTCATAAGATTGCATCAAAGCATCAACGATATGTTTGGTAAAAGCTTTATTTTGACTATAAGCACGAGGAGAATTTAGCACGGATTGCAACAAGGAAATACAATATATCAAAGAGCAATTATCATAATTAATTTCCTTGAAATCCAAAATAGTGGGTTCATTAACATCTAGAGTTTTGATCTCTTCAATCCCACTTTTATCAAATTTAGCATCAAGATCTAAAAACTCTGAATTTTTGGAACGCCTTCTAGGTAAAGGTGGATCATAATCAGTCCCATCATTATCAAGATTCATATTGAAAAACAAATATTTAGTAGGGGACACATCAATAACTTTTATATCTTCATCTTTATTATCATGGAAACTAGAAGAACACGCTCTTATAAAGGAATCTTTCTTAGCACGCATCCTAGCGGTTCTTTCTTTGCACTCATCAATGGAAATTCTCACAGCTTTGAGAGACTCATTGATATCATACTTAGGCGGAATAGATCTAAGTTTTAAAGAATCAACATCAAGAGAAATTATATCAACGTTCCTAGCCAACTCATCAATCTTAAGTAATTTTTCTTCAATCAAAGCATTGAAATTCTTTTGCGAAGTAATAAATTTTTTAATATTAGATTCAAAATCAGAGGGCATCTTATTATAATTTCTATAAGAATTGTTGTAGGAATTACCATAATTATTAGAGGAATTGCTAGGATAAGGCCTAGGATTAAAGTTTCCTCTATACGCGTTGTTACCAGAATTGTTCCTACCAACAAAATTCACATCCATAGATTCATTATTATTCTCAATCAAAGTCGACAAAGGCATATCATTAGGATCAGAAGAAAAACTTTTATTAGCAAATAATTTCATAAGTTCATCCATTTTCCACTCAAAACATTAATTCCTTCTATCGCATGCACTTTTTTATTAGTAGATCTTTCAGTGTGCCATTGAGAATAATTAACCATAATATTATCTAGGAGTTTAGTAGCTTCTCTTAATGTGATTTCCATAAAAGTGCCTACCACGGCCGGATCTAAAATATTTCTAGAAGCAAAATTCAATCTGGCATAAAATTTTTGTATAATCATCCACAAATTCAAACCATGTGTTGGGCAATTACGTATCATTAATTTCATCCTCTCCCAAGCTTGTGCAACATGTTCATGATCAAGTTGCTTAAAATTCATAATATCGTTTCTAAGAGATATGATCTTAGCGGGAGGAAAATACTTAGAGATAAAAGCATCTTTGCACTTATTCCAAGAATCAATACTATTTTCAGGCAAAGACGAAAACCAAGCTTTAGCACGATCTCTAAGCGAAAAAGGAAATAGTTTCAATTTAACAATATCATTATCAACATCTTTCTTCTTTTGCATATCACACAAATCAACGAAGCTATTTAGATGGGTAGCGGCATCTTCACTAGGAAGGCCGGAAAACGGATCTTTCATGACAAGATTCAGCAAGGCAGCATTAATTTCACAAGATTCAGCATCGGTAAGAGGAGCAATTGGAGTGCTAATAAAATCGTTGTTGTTGGTATTGGTAAAGTCACACAATTTAGTGTTTTCTTGAGCCATCATGACAAGCAAGCAATCCAACACACAAGCAAACTTGGAACGGGCAAAAAAGAGGCAAATAGAGAAAGAGAGGGAGGACAGAGAGAGAGGGCGAATATAACGGCAAGGGTGAAGTGGGGGAGAGGAAAACGAGAGGCAAATGGCAAATAATGTAATGCGGGAGATAAGGTTTTGTGATGGGTACTTGGTATGTTGACTTTTGCGTAGACCTCCCCGGCAACAGCGCCAGAAATCCTTCTTGCTACCTCTTGAGCACTTGCGTTGGTTTTCCCTTGAAGAGGAAAGGGTGGTGCAGCAGAGTAGCGTCAGTATTTCCCTCAGTTTTGAGAACCAATGTATCAATCCAGTAGGAGGCTACGCACGAGTCCCTCGCACCTGCACAAAACAAATAAATCCTCGCGACCAACGCGGTAAGGGGTTGTCAATCCCTACACGGTCACTTACGAGAGTGAGATCTCATAGATATGATAAGATAATATTTTTGGTATTTTTATGATAAACATGCAAAGTAAAATAAAAGCAATGAAAATAACTAAGTATTGGAAGATTAATATGATGAAGATAGACCCGGGGGCCATAGGTTTCACTAGTGTCTTCTCTCAAGAGCATAGGTATTTTACGGTGGGTGCACAAATTACTGTTGAGCAATTGACAGAATTGAGCATAGTTATGAGCATATCTAGGTACGATCATGTATATAGGCATCACGTCCAAGACAAGTAGACCGACTCCTGCCTGCATCTACTACTATTACTCCACACATCGACCGCTATCAAGCATTCATCTAGAGTATTAAGTTCATAAGAACAGAATAACGCCTTAAGCAAGATGACATGATGTCACTACACCACAACACGATTGCAAGGACATAAAAACTGCCAGCAGAAGTCACTTATAAGGGCAGACAAACTGTCGGGAACGTTTTTCTCTCGGCAGATAGAACTGCCACAAGAACGGCTGCCGGGAATTGCAAACGCCGGTAGATAGAGATCTCCCGGCAGTTTGTATGCCGATATGTTCAAAGTTCTCCCGGCAGTTTCTATTCTCCCGGCAGACAAATTCTCCTGGCAGTTAATAGCTTTCCCGGCAGATGATGTGCCACGGTTGCCAAATACACCAATCTATAAGGCTATTGCACTCTAGTATTGTATTTATTTCACATTTAGATGCACACTGACAAGCCATTCATTAAAATAAAGTAAAAGGAATCTGCACATTTATATTATAAAATCTGATGATCAAAGTACATGGTTACAATGTATACAATTCACTGATTACACATGATGACTTGCATCATAATTTAGCATCTATAGTTTCAATACATCCAAGTTATACAGAATGTAACAAGCACAAAATGCAAAGCTTGTAAGGTCTTCTACGTGAGCTCAGAGCATATGGTTAGGGCAAGTTATCTTTGGCCAGTCTTCACGAACATTTCCAACCTGGACAAAGAGATACAATTGACAAGTACAAGTATTATAAAACATTATCTGCATACATTGATTACAATACTCAAAGACAATCATGTGCACCGCTCCACCTTTTTAAGAAAGACATCTACATGAACGAAGAGAATTTCTCATCATATTTCCTTTCAAGGCATCAAGTAAATCATATAAAGCACTGATACCGCGATACGAGTAACACGATGCCGGATATGGAAATTTCTAGAAACATCAACGCTCAATATGGCAAGTATATATAAATAATTAATAAGATGACATATAATAAAGACAAACATAATAGAATGTGTAAGATGAGATCAAAATATTGCCCCATTGGTTGCCTCTGAACCTCTTTTCAAGTCCTCAACTCCTGATGGTGCTTCTAGCTTACCAAATATAAGTGATAGACTCCTCCGTGCAGCTATTTCTCTAAGTGATGGAAGGTATCAAGCACACAGTATAGTACTCCTCTAGTACGTACTATGGAAGCTAGCCAGCAGCCAAGCACACAGTGACCACACCTCACTCAGGGCTCGGGGGTGAGTAGGCATAACTCTGAGGCAATTACTTCCTTCAAAAGCTTATGTACTATTTAAGAGTAACAAATATACACCTAGTTAAGGCTGGTTATTTTACTTTCTACAGTGGAGCTCACTATGGTAGTACAATGTCCCATTTTTTTCTCAAGGGCTACATTTAACACCCTCCATTTTACATCAGAGATTCTGAACAAAAAATGATACAGTATGGGTACCATACTCATCTCAACATCATCAGATCATTCCTCGTTTCGTACTGCACTGTATATGTTCCTTCCATGATTCCATCAAGCAGCTGAAAAAATAATGCTGGCGAAAACTGTGTTAGCATAAGGAAAATAATTGCACTTAACATTGCATATTATCCTGGAATAACTTGGCTTCTGCCACATCTACAGATGTAATGTGCTCAAAGCAAATTAAGAACTTTCAGTGTCAAAATCATTTACAAATAAGTGCTTAACTTGTGCACGTGATTTCTTGTATATTAACAACGGGGATTGCCCACATGAAGTGGATAAATGCTTAAAACATGTGTTTAGATTTCACACGCTTATTCCTGAAGCATTAAGCATTACAATATAGTGCCCAAATAGTGATGAGAGTTATTTATCTTGGAAAATTGTGAATTGTCACAAAGAGCAGAAAACATAAAAAATGAAGACCGCAATCTCAACATAGTAAGAATAATTACAACAAAATTTAATAGTGGAAGGGCATACAAAGATTTATCTCCCGGCGGCAGCACTACAAGAAAGTTATATTCTGTATATGTAGATGGTTGGGTATAAAAGATGCATATGTATCACTTCTGGAGGAAGATGATTAAGGTGCAGGTAGAGATGGTCGGTCAATGGTCCTGAGGCTAAAGGATAGAAACAGCAAGTGATGTGGGAAGAACCAACAACACCAGATTATCACCTAAAGCATAATCGCATAAAACAAGAGAACTGAAACATACGTACACCACGTCCTTCTCTAATTTCCATAGTCAATTAGTCATAGATCTAGAAACAACATCACGAGATGCCAGATCATTGGCGGTAGGGGCATATCGTTCCATGAACCTCTCAGCTTTGCTGTTCCTAAGAATACCACCTTCGCCCCGGGAACCTTAAAAATGAATGATGACATAGTAATGTAAGAAAATTTGGTTGATTGACTGATATTTCGATACTAACTGGAGAAATGTGCAGTGCAAAAGCTATAGTTAATACACATGTGACTACAGTAGGATAAAAAAGTTTTAGTTATGTAAAACCTTCGGTTATAAGGCATCCAGCACCGTAAATGCCTGTAGGATGGAACTGCACAAACTCAAGATCCTGCAAATTCAACAGATAGATATAACCATATCATCTTGAGAAGTAGCTAAGTCAGTGTGATTTAGTTCAGAAGACTAACCTGAAGGGGTAACCCAGCACGTGCAACCATAGCATTGTCATCACTAGTACATGTGTGAGGTGAAATAGCAGAGAAGTAACCTCTGCCATAACCATGTTGAGCTATAAAACAAGACAGGGATAAGACAGGCAGTAAACTGAAAAGGAACAGTCAGTGGTTAAGACAGAGAGATTCTTACTCCTGTTGCTAAAATAGCATTTGTTGAAAGGAAACGATGAAGGGTACCATCCTCCATGTTGAGTGCAATTACCCCCTGACAGGCGCGTCGAAAATAAGTATGCATTAATCAGCAGTGTCCTAAACATGCGGTGCAGAAAGCAAGCACTATTTATAGACCTAATTATATCCATTGAAAGGGCTCATTAGCTAGTAGGTTTTAACTATCATGTAAAAAATCTTGTCAACATTACAACAAGATCAGGTACACAAGACAATCTTAGCGGCACTAAAAAGATAATGCATTAATGACCTAATGCTTGTAGAATCTACAGCAACTGAACAAGCAAGGCAATTAAAAACCAAGGAAAAATAAGATCCAAGAAATATCCACATCAAGTCTAATAGAATGCAAAGAAAATTAATGCTAAAGGCAACAATCAAAGACTATTTTCCTTCAGTATGTCTACATCAAATTATAATCACATAAAAGTAGGCATATCTATTATTTATTACAAGTTAAATAATTGATTCCCAGAGAAGGGAAGAGACCCCCGAAACAAATCACTTTAGGTACATATGGCATTCCTTTACAAGTGAGAATGATTCTGAATTTCAGACAACCCATAAAAAATTACACATACACTAACCTGGCTGAAACAATTTGCAATTCCCGAGCACTTGGAATTTCTCAAAAAACCTACCACTACTAGACCCAGTCTCCAATCCTTTCACTAATAGCATCTGCATCAATTTGGTAGTAAAAAGAAAAAACAGCAATAAGAAGACAGTCTCGGTGGAAGGAGAGATGTAGCAGGGAGGGGAAATCTGGATTCGTACGGACAACTGGACAACGCCCACCATCAGTTCTCATCCAGCAGAGAAGGAGAGATTCACTACCTTGCTATGGAGAATCTCACCTAGATCGGGTTTCCATTGGCACGGATCTAAGCAGAGAGCAGGCACCGCGCTCGCAGTCAGCGGGAGAGGAAGCCGCGGCCAGGAGCCATCTCATGCTAGCCAGCGTGAAGGGCCGCTGAGAAGAGGAGCCCGATGCCGTGGTGGACCCTTGGACGGCACTGCTTCCTCTTGCGCTTGCCGTTGCCGCACATCACAATGGAGAAGGATTGGTGTTCGTCGTAGGATCTGTTGCTGGGGAGGAAGCTGACGTTGACCTTGACGCACCGGCGCCATCGACGTTTAGGTGGCTGTGCCGAAGGGAGGGAGGCTCCATCGACCTCATGCATCAGAGGCCTCTGGAGGGAGGAGACGCGACCTCTACGCACTGGCGCCATAGATCCAGATGCGGTCGCACAGGTCGGCTGAGGGGTGGTGGTGGCAGAAGGGGCGGTGTGGCGGCGGTGTCGGTCGAGGAGAAGGGGTAAAGGAGGGTTCGATTTGGGGGAGAACAGGAAGGGGCGGCGGCGACGGCGGCGGTGGTATCGGTCGAAGAGGAGGGGTAAAGGAGGTTCGATTTGGGGGAGAACAGGTCGGGGCGGCGGCTGTAATTCTTTTGAGCAAAAATTTTGGTCTGTCGCGCACTCTCCAGCACCAGCACGCGTTTGGGCCTAATTATCTTTGTGGGCTCGTGCCACGGATAGGCCCGGCAGACAGTGGGCCGTAGTTTAGTTCTGCCGGCAGTTTTGATAACCTAAGATGGGCATATCATTGCCGGCAGTACATGCGCCCTTGCTGCTTAACTTCTACCGGCAGTTTATCCATCCTTGTGCATTTTTGCCGGCAGTTACCTGATCCCCGGCAGATGGTTTGCCCTTATTCTCATATTTCTCCCGACAGTTAATTGCCCCCAATTTAGTGTTGTGGTGTAGTGTGTAGAGGGATAAACTCATGCAATATGATGAAAACCCCATCTTGTTATCCTTGATGGTAATAATACAATACGTGCCTTGTTGCCCCTACTGTCACTGGGAAAGGACACCGCAAGATTGAACCCAAAGCTAAGCACTTCTCCCATTGCAAGAAAGATCAATCTAGTAGGCCAAACCAAACTGATAATTCGAGCAGACTTGCAAAGATAACCAATCATACATAAAATAATTCAGAGAAGATTCAAATATTGTTCATAGATAAACTTGATCATAAACCCACAACTCATCGGTCTCAACAAACACACCGCAAAAGAAGATTACATCGAACATATCTCCACAAGAGAGGGGGAGAACTTTGTATTGAGATCCAAAAAGAAAGAAGAAGGCATCTAGCTAATAACTATGGACCCGAAGGTCTGAGGTAAACTACTCACACTTCATCGGAGAGGCTATGGTGTTGATGTAGAAGCCCTCCGTGATCAATGCCCCCTCCGGCTGAGCTCCGAAACAGGCCCAAGATGGGATCTCGTGGATACAGAAAGTTACGGCGGTGTAATTAGGGTTTTGGCTCTGTATTTGATTGTTTGGGGGTACGTAGGTATATATAGGAGCAGGAAGTACGTCGGTGGAGCAACAGCAGGCCCACGAGGGTGGAGGGCACGCCTGGGGGGAGTAGGCGCGCCCCCTACCTCGTGGCCTCCTGGTTGATGTCTTGACGTAGGGTCCAAGTCCTATGGATCATGTTTATTCCAAAAATCATGTTCCCGAAGGTTTCATTACGTTTGGACTTCGTTTGATATTCTTTTTCTACGAAACCCTAAAATAGGCACACAAAAACCAACAATTTTGGGCTGGGCCTCCGGTTAATAGGTTAGTCCCAAAAATAATATAAAAGTGTATAATAAAGCCCAATAATGTCCAAAACAGAATATAATATAGCATGGAACAATCAAAAATTATAGATACGCTGGAGACATATCTTCAATCTCTGATCTAGTTGCTTTTGGTCCAGCCGCAAAAACCATCGCCGGTTGGAGCACCTGCATCTGCCTCCCATGGTCGGCCGTGCCGTCGCGCAGGCCTCGCCGTCCCACTCTACTCCCAACGATGGCCAGGTCATACCTGTACTCACCCACATCTTTTGTTATTCTCCGACGAAGGAAGCCTCACCCAGTAGCCGAACCAGCCCCTCGTACTCCCCTCCACCAGGGACTCCAGTGCCCCTTGTTCCATGACTCCAGATCGTTCCCATCTTAGGCCTCGCCATCGTCCACGTCCTTGGTGTTCTCGGCGCGGCATGGTCAACGTGGTCAAGGAACGCCTTCCACCGAAAGAGGACTGTACATGGAGAGGCTGACAGTTGGGTCCACGACCGCAACAAGGAAGTGCCTCCTTATTACTGGCGAAATAATGATTCCTCCACCTGACAGCGGAACCTACCGGAAGGGCCTCGAAAAAAACGCTTCCCCCCTGACAGCTGGGACCCACTAGCTACATCTTCGTATGCAAGGAAGTGCGTCCGTAGTATGGCCAAAAAATGATTCTTCCCCCTGACAGCTGGGACCCACCAGCAATATCTTCGCATGGAAAGAAGTGCCTCCTTATCCTCCCTGACAGCTGGAACCCACCAGCTATATCTTTGCACGAAAGGAAGTGCCTTCTTATCCTCCCTGACAGCTGGGACCCACCGGGTCGAACCGTACGACGGGTTGTCTGTCTGGTCGCGAATGTGTACATACATACTGGTCGACCGGTCTCTCTGCAGCAATGAACCGTGTACGAGTAAGGAGATGCACGTGTCGTAGTAGAGGCGTGGATGTAGCATGTCATGCAGTCCGTCTATATATATCTTGTACACGTACGTACAACCACAATGCAAGAGATTAAATGTGACTACGTACATACATAAGGGCGGGGTCTCGAACGCGTACTCGCGCATACGTACGGCCAGGCCTCGTGTACATGGAGAGGCAACGGACGACAGTGATGTCGTCCTATTCATTGGCAGCTAACCAGGTGGGTCGGAACGGGGGAAACAAGGTCGTCTTCATCGAGAGCCAAGTGACTGGATCGGAACACATCCTGTTCATCAGAAGCAAAGCCACTTGGTCGGAACGCGTCCTGTTCATCGGCAGCCAACCGGCTTCGACGGAACAACTGAAACGAGGTCTGGCGTACCGCAGAACGGAGGAAACGGGCCTTCTGTTCGACCGCGTATGATCGAAACAGGGTCCTGTTCATCGGGAAGGGTCTAGCGTACCGCAAAACGGTGAAAATGAACTTCTGATCGAGCTCCTACGGTCGAAACGGGGTCCTGTTGATCGGGAGGGGTGTGGCGTACCGCAAAACGGAGGAAACAGACTGCTCTTCGACCTCCTATGGTCGAAACGGGGTCCTGTTCATCGGGAGGGGTGTGGCGTACCGCAAAACGGGACTCCATGGGCTATTGTTCATCCACCGTCGACTTCCTCCAACCTCCACCTGCTACTATTCATCCACTGTCTCCAGCCTCCACCAGACACTGTTCATCCAAGTGCTACTGTTCATCCAGCCTCCACCGGCTTCAGTTCAACCAGCCTCCATGGGGTCTTGTTCATCCACCCCCAACCGGCTGGGGTGTGTTGCGGCCTCCTTGGAGTCCTGTTCATCCAGCGGCAACCGCGTACTATATACAAGTGGGTCCTGTTCATCCAACGGCAACTGCCTACACACGGTCGGGGGCCTGTTCATCCAACCCCCACCTGGAACTGTTCAACCACATCCAACCCAACCGGCTCGACTCACACCACGTCTCGACTCGTTCTATGTATCACGCGCGCGGCAGCAACAAGCACCGTTCAGCCAGAGGCAATCCAACCGACTAGCTACGTCTCGCACGGGAGTTCGATCGACTTCAGTAAGCATGCAACAGTAGCAGCGATCGATCGGGTTTAGTTAGAAGCGAAGGAGTCTTCGCCGAGTTCAGTTAGGAGCGAAGGGATCGATCGATCAGCTTCAGTACGTAGCAGTAGGAGATCGCTCAGGTTCAGTTATAGCGACACGGCTCGCACCACGCCCGCGTATGAGAGAAACGTGCAAACCACACTACATTGCTCAGCCTCGACCACCCACCGTAACTGGAAACTCCCCGATATTTTCCTCGTCCTCGCTTCTACCACGATTTTCTCCGTCATGGACGGCCCAAAGAATGTCATGCAGGTGCGTCTCCGGCCCGCCCAAGACGAAAAGCCCATTTTCAGTCATGATTTTTTGTCATAGAAGTAGGAGCCCACCACATCTATGATGATACCGGGTTTTGTCACAATTATCTTCATAGAAGTGTTATAAGTATGACAATTTTTTTTGTTTGGGCCAAAATGTCACGGATGTGTCTTTTTTGTAGTGCATTGACTTCGCAAGGCCAAGAGCAGTCCGACCACCAACCAGCACCCGCACAGTCGTGAAATCCATTCGCGCTAACACCCAACCATCCTCATCGCCTCGACCATGGTCGATGGCTGGCACTCCATGTCACTGCTGCAACCGGGGCGTCGAGTCGCCCACGCGACGCGCACGTCCACCATGGTACTCCCCTGTGCGAACCCGTGATCCGGCCACTGGCATGGAGCCAACACCGAACCAGGCTGAAACACCCCCAACAACGCTCAGATTCAGATGTCAGGAAATGAGGAAGGAGGGGAAGAATGCGTGACTGTTTTTATGCCTACGTGACTTTTTATTTTTGCTGACTCAGCCTAACGAGTGGGTCAGGCCAATTAGAGCAACTCCAACGCGTCGACCCAAACGAATGGTGATTTTGTCCGTATTTTTTCGGTATAGGTCGTCCGCTCGCTCGGCATCCGTCTTGTTTATGTTTTTGGTCGGCAGTGCGCCCTACGCGCGCGACCCATATTTGCCGGTGCGGCCGGCTGTCCATTTTTCAGTAAATATGTACACATTTTGCATAGTTTCACAGGCAAACAAAAATTGCATAGATTCACAACCAAATAAATTTAGCATAGTTTTACAAGCTGAATAAAAACTAAATTGTCTCAAATACATTTGAAAAAAACATACATATATTGGTTCAACGCTGGAAGGTGCCCCAGGATCGAGCTCCGTAACAACGGTCGTTGTCTATTAAGGTGGTCATGGACCAACACGGCAGATAAGATCTCCTCCCCATCACCGGATGAGGAATTGTCAGAGTCACACAGGAAATTGTGGAGAAAGAACTCATCGGCGGAGTCCATTTTGTACGTTGGCAAACTGCGAACAGCTTACGGGCGTCAACGAAAAAGCTGGCCGACGAAGAGACACGTGCCTCCCTTAGACCAGGTGACTAGTCTGGAGGTGTCTGACGAGCATGCCAGCGTCAGGACAGCAGGCGGTGTCAGACGAAGGAGTTGGCTAGGGCGGGAAGGCGGCTTCCTGCTCGCGGCGGCGTCCGAGTGTGTGTGTGGGGGGGGGAGCTTCGATGCCCCGGCGGCGAGGCGGTGGTGGTGGCGGCGTGGGAGGTGGTGGGGTTGGGGTTAGGTGTGTCGGTAACGGCTGCTGGCAGAGGCACCAAAAATGGACGGCTGCGGCGATGGGGCGGGGCGGGTGAAGGTTTGATGTTGATATGGGTGGAATAAGAGGGCCAATGTGACACTGACTAGTGGGCCAAAGGAAGGAATAGGCACGCGTCACGTACGTCCGTTTCATGTCCGCGTCGACGTAAATGGGGCTCAAAATTGGGCCGAGAATGAGTCGGCAGGCGAACGAAAAGAAGACGCGCGTCCGTTTGGGTCGACGCATTGAGCCGACTTTTCTGTTCGTGCCGATCCAAACGGATGCGCACGGACAAAATGGGTCGGTCCGTTGGAGTTGTTCATAGTGACGTCAGCCAAATGCTTAGTATCGACCATCTGTGTCTTTTTGTCACTTTTATTTTTTGATGCGGTACAAAATGCCATAATCGTAAAGTGATGGTTTTTTGCTAATTAAATGTGAGGGCCATGTGGATTTTAGTTCCTATCCCCACTGTTGAACGTGACGTATTACTTTAGGCACCCACGATGACTTTTGATTCGTCCGATCTTGCTTTGGCATATGAAATCATTCTGCTTGTGCGATCGAAAGCGCACCAATGCATCTTTGGCGTGAGCTAGGCACTTTAATTTGTACGCAAACGAAGCAAGGTATATTATGCTTCTCAAAAGCCAATAAAGCTATATTCTCACCCACTGTCAAGCCTCGTTTAGTGCAGTCAATATTGCATTTTTGTTTTGTCTCCCATGGATTTTCTAGATTTGTGTGCTAAGATAAGTTTTTTCTAATAATGCTTTGGACAACTGAATTAGGGATTTTGTCGAGTCTTTGGATCTTCATCCTCCTTTTCTTTCATGTCCGTCTTCTTTCTTAAATCATCACTGTAACCTCCTCAATCAGACATTTAACAGCATCAACCTATCAACATAGTCATGTTCAGTGGTTGATAGATACTTCCTCCGTCCCATAATATAAAAACGTTTTTTACATTGATGTAGTGTCAGAAACACTCTTATATTATTAGGGCGGAGGGAGTAAAACATTGCTATTAACCCCTCCATCCCAGTGACCCTTATCACCCCGAACCTAGATCTCTAACCCCAGTCTCCAGCAATATCTCATTTCAGGGCTCCTCTATTACAAAGTTGAGAAAAGCAAACCGGCAACTGAACTTATGAGGTTGTCTGTTCACGTTTTGATTGGTCAGATCACCTATGCATTGGCACAATTGTGAAAAAATATATCAAAAGATTTAAGGTACTTTTTCAAAATTTTGACCAAAAATCACATGAATGCACATTATATCAAACGTAACCCAATAATAAATCACAAAGTGTTCTAACCTTGGCATGCCTTGCCTCAAGGTTAGTTGTTTGAGTTTTTACATCATTTTTAAAATATTTTCTTGATTTTTTTCACCAAAAGACCTATACACCTTAAAAACACCGGACAAGGTACCGGTTCCCGATTTTTCGAGCCGGACCGCCGGCCGTTACTGAAACTATTCTCCAATGCCGAGGCTTCTTTCTTCGACTCCACTTCATTTTCTACCGCTAGCATATTGTTGTAGAGAATCGACCCTGTTTTCAATAGGAAAAACATGCGACCAACTATTAGAATTTATTTAAAAAATCGAAATATCCATGTTATCATATCAAATTGAATACTATCAATTCAACCGAAGTTTATCATTTTTATGCTAAGTGATGTTCTATTTTGAGTGACTACCATTTACGAAAATTTCATGGAATGGGAGTTTAGCAATCATAGAGAAAAGAATGCAACATTACAAGAAGAAAATCACTCGCATTATTTTCCTTGCACTCGGATGGCTTAGCTCAGTACTACCAGCTACACCGCCGGTATTACAGATGACGAAACCTAAGGTCTCAATACAAACATTTAACTGCAACATTTGTATGAAAACAGGCCACTTAATTGACGCTCACGAACTCTTATCTTAAATAAAACGTACGCACGGATCGCGCATGGCGTAGAAGTACGGCAAAGCGAGGACAACACGGAGCTCCGGGCTCTAGTTGTCGGCGACGACGGTGCGGATGACCATGTCGGCGTCCTCCGCCGCCGCGGCGCCGCACTGGAGCATGGACGACCAGTGGCGGAGCCAGGATTTCTGACATGGGTATGCGTAGTTAAAATTTTCTTAGTGCCAAGCAACACTAAGAGATAAATGTTTACAATCATGAAAACTGAATTTTAATTATTATAATTTTTGCAACAAGGTCTTCAATATTTTGTTTTATATTGCAAGAATATAGCCAAAAACAAAATTTAACGCTACCAAACCCCTTTTCAAAGGGGCAAATGATAGCGCCAATACGTGTAGATCAATCGATGAACTTAGGGATAAATATAGTCCCCTGTATTGAATTGGCAATTTGAAAAATTCAAAATTACAAAACTCACAATGCGTAAAGCCGATTAGCCGAGGGATGATATGCACGCAGCTGTTAACGGTTGATCGCTGCCTATCAAACGACTGACGCCGCTGCCGAGGGCGAGGTCCTATTAGCGATGCAAACTACCCAGACCTAGGCTGCTTTTTTTCTTTTTGAGGATTCCCAAACCTAGGCCCAACACCCCAAGTCAAGGCCCAATGTAGCCAGCGAGCCCAGGTAAGGAAGCGAGGCGCTGGAGCGCTTCTTTGCCAAATTTTCATGCGTGGTAGGTGTAAAATGAGGCCATGCTTGATATATATGCATATACGGGTATATGTACTGAAAAAAATTAGCAGAAAATATTGGGTATGCGTTGCATACCCTTGCATTAGGCTAGCTCCGCCCCTGTGGACGATTGACAGAGGACGATCTTAAGCTCCCCGGGCGCGCGGCAGCTCTGCGGCACGGGCTCCACGTCTGTCGGCGTGGTCCTGGTGAGCGGGCAACGGTTCTTGAAGTACCCCGCGGGCCCGCGGCACGCGGTGCCTTCGGCGGCGCGGTTGTCCGGAGAGCAGTCGCAGTTGAGGTCCACGACGCAGCCGAGCGCCGGGCACTGCCCGCCGCCGATGGCCTGCGGGCTCAACACCATCGGCACGTTGAACCCGTCTACGAGGCTGACGCTGTACGCGGCGAGGTCCAGGTTCCCGCTGTCGTGGACCGTGATCTGCGCGACGGTGGACGGCGGCGCGTCGCCCGTGAAGCACCCGCGCGGCGGCGACGTGCCGTCGTTGCAGCCGGTGCGGGCCGCGACGCGGCCGGCCCAGAAGGTGGGTGGGAAGGTGAGGGAGAGAATCGCGTTGGTGTCGAGGCGCGCGGTGTTTTCGGAGATGGACGGAAGGCCGGCGTTGGGGGTGACGAGCGGCCAGACCGGGTGCGGGCAGAGGTTGTGGATGGTCAGCTTGGTCGCTGACGAGAAGGCGGCTAGCGCGGCAAGGACGAGGAGGACGAAGGCGAGATCCCTGGCCATGGCAGCTACAGCAACTAGCTAGCTTGTGAGATGAGAGGTGGGGTTAGAGAGGAGCGGCTGGATTCTAGTACTTTTGTAGCCAAGGATTGCCGCTCGGGCTGAGTCGTCAGGGACAGCTTTTTGCTTTTGCTTTTTTTTTGCTTGTTTCGAGGGAGGAAAAGCAACGGTTTCACAGTACGCCGAGACATGTTTGGTAGGCTGCATATACCTTAGCTAGGCCCGCGCGAGAAGAAAAAAGTCTGTTTGATTATTCACATTTACTGTTTGAAATTATTAATTAAGGAGTACTCGTTGCAAAAAATACTCCATTTTCTAGGGTCGCGACAAGTGGCGCACATGCAGCGCGCCACTTGTCACAACCTGGGAGTTTTTTCCTTTTTTCGTAGATCCGTTTATTCAAAACGTTTTATCTTTTAAACCGTGCGTCCAAATCTCGAACTGTTTTCACGATTGGATTTCTCGCATCGAGATCTTCAAAACTAGATCCCATGTTGATAGGTTTTGACGAACTTTTTTTTCACGAAAAAAACCAGACGAAAAAATCGAACCGGGAGCACGATTTTTTCCCTTTCCGAAAGAGGCACGTCCGCTCGCGAAATCACAACCGTGCCTCTCGTGGAAGCAAAACCGTGACTCTCGTGGAAGGAAAAGAAACAGAAACACGTTTTTTTCCCGTTTCCGAGAGGCATGGCCATGACTCTCGCGAAAGCGTAACCGTGCCTCTCGCGAAAGCAAAACCGTGACTCTCACGAAAGAAAAAAAATAGAAAACGCGTATTTTTTCCCTTTCCGCGAGGCACGGCCGTGACTTTCGCGTAAGCACAACCGTGCCTCTCGCGGAAGCAAAACCGTGACTCTAACGAAAGAAATAAAAACAGAAAACGCGTTTTGTTTTTCCCTTTCCGAGAGGCACGGCCGTGACTCTCGCGAAAGCACAACCGTACCTCTCGCGGAAGCAAAACCGTGACTCTCGCGAAAGAAAAAAAAAGAAAAACACGTTTTTTTTGTTTCCGAAAGGCACGGCCCTGACTCTCGATAAAGCACAACCGTGCCTCTCGCGAAAAAAAACCGTGACTTTCGTGAAAGGAAAAAAAGAAAACGCGTTTTTTCGCGCAAAAAAAAATTTCGAATTTTTTTTGATCGAAAAGCTAAGAAAGACCGGAGGAAAACCAAAACATCGAAAAAACCCGGAAAGAAAACCGTTTGAAAGCCGAAAACGCGTGTGGAAAAATAAAAAAATAAAATTCGAAGGAAGCATCGAGAGCGCGACACGTGGCGAATGGCTGAGAGCGCGCCAAGTGGCGCTGATCATTGCGAGGCTCCCGAAGGAGCGCTCGTTAACTAGTTGCTCCCTTCACTATTGGGTCTGCATAGCATGAACATTAAAGCATCTCTGGGTTTGCAACCTGAGGAACGCTCAAATCGGCCTTTTTTGGAGCCAGGCCCGCGCGGTGCAACCCTAGGCACGTGGGTGTGGGCGGTTGCACGCGTGGGTGCAGTCCCGAGATGTCGCGTTGTTTCCAGACGCGTCGTCATAAATTGCCATCACCTCCCTTCCTAACCGCGCTCTCCCCTCTTCCCCACTCACACCGGCGGCGGCGACGGCGGCAACCTCCTAAGCTCTATTGCGAATCGATCCAAGACGACGGCGGCAACCACCGGAGTGACTGTAGACCTCCACCAGAGCGTATCGGCCATGGCGGTAAGACCTCGTCCTCTCTGTACATTCACTGCTTTCGACTCGGGCTAGATTCGATTAGAGAACGCGATTGAACAGTTAGGGAGGGGACTAAACACATGGGGGGATTGACATTAATCGATTATGCATCTACGGCTACTAGGACTCATAGGTTATTTTTTCGATTACATCAGGGGCGGGATTGGATTGTCTAGTCGCGGTGACCCTGGAGTCGCGTCGAGCGGCGGGGGCATAGTCATCTTCTTTTCTTCCTCATCGGCTTCATCATCATCGTCTTCATCAAGAACGATGGGTCTTGCACGGTCGTCTGCCGCCGCCGCCCTGGCCACCCCACTAACCCAGCACCACACTCAAACCCCCTATGGTACGCCGCTCCACGCTGGTCTTGAGGCGCCTTGTACTGATTGTACTTGGCACATCTTGCCCGCTATCGAGCGTCGCTGGAGTTTGCCCGATTCATGGCCCAGCACAGGATGTCCACTGACATCGCGCCCTTGGCTGGGTCCGGAACCAATGTCTTCAGCTCGTCCGACGTAGCCTTCTTCATCATAGCACCGGCCTCCTTGTGCATGCCATCGATGCTGTTGAAGTTCGATCACACTTCCATGGTGTGCTTGAACTTCTTGCGTTCACCGAGTGAGCACCCAAGGAAGAATGCCCTCCATCCAATGCCCGAGGGGAAAGGGTTGGGGTTGGAGTTGGAGTTCATGCCGAGGAGAGGTGGTGAAACAGAGGGGGTTTGAGAATGGTGCTGGGTTAGTGGGGTCGGTTAATATAGGAGCATTAGGCCGATATGAATGAATGTTAACCGTTGATATGCGTGTCGTTCATAATGTAGATGGACAAGGCCAAGAAGGTGGTGCCACCATTGGATAAGGGCAAGAAGGTTGTGCCTCCATTGATCAAAGTGGCAGTGCAGGATCACCCAAGCCCCAAGCGGAGGAACTATGGCCACTTCCATTAGAAGTCAGGACCAAACCACTTCTGCAAGGTTATCCTTTCTCCAAAGCTGGAGAGTCTGCCATTGCCTCTGGACATCACAAAGCACTTCCCCGCCATCCCTACATAGTTCAAGATAAAGAAGAACACCGGCTGCGCATGGAGGGTGGCGGTGAGGGTGATCGACGACAGGGTCACCCTTGACCAGGGTTGGGCTACCTTCGTCGTCGTTCACCAGATCATGACCAGGTACATGCTGACGTTCAAGCTGTTGTCCCCCGACACCGTGAAGGTGATCGTCTTCAACGACGAGGGCGTGGAGGTGGTCACCAAGTTCAAGGAGCACGACAATGCCTTCGTCGCGACCGCCCGATCGAGCTCCGGTTGTCCAATCCATGGTTGTTCTTGCTTTAAGACTTTGGTTTCGGTTAGAACTTATTGTACTGTGTTGGTTTAAAAGTTGTTCTGCGTGGTTAAGGCTTATGTTTGTACCTAAGATTGTTCTACCGCTACTAGTTTAGTTCTTAGTAGTAACCTGGATGTAACCTGTAACGCCCTCGATGCGGCTATATCCCCCACGTGTCGAAGCACGACTTAGAGGCATAACCGCATTGAAAGCAATGTCGCAAGTGAGGTAATCTTCACACAACCCATGTAATACATAAGGGAAAGAGATACATAGTTGGCTTACAATCGCCACTTCACACAATACATGAATAAAGCATTACATTCATCCAAATACAGTCAAGGTCCGACTATGGAACCAAAATAAAAGAAGACTACCCCAAATGCTACACAGATCCCCGATCATCCCAACTGGGCTCCACTACTGATCAACTGGAAATGGAACAACATAACGAACGCGAATCTCATCGAGCTCCTCCTTGAGCTCAGTTGCGTCACCTGCACAGTTTCATCGGCACCTGCAAGCTGGTTTTGGAAGTATCTGTGAGTCACGGGGACTCAGCAATCTTACACCCTCGCGATCAAGACTATTTAAGCTTATAGGAAGGGTAAAAATATGAGGTGGAGCTGCAGCAAGCGACTAGCATATATGGTGGCTAACATACGCAAGTGAGAGCGAGAAGAGAAGGCAAAGCATGGTCGAGAAACTATGATCAAGAAGTGGTCCTAGAACAACCTACGTCAAGCATAACTCCAACATCGTGTTCACTTCCTGGACTCCGCCGGAAAGAGACCGTCACGATTACGCACGCGGTTGATGCATTTTAATTAAGTTAAGTTTCAGGTTTTCTAAAACCGGACATTAACAAATTCACATCTGCCCATAACCGCGGGCACGGCTTTCAAAAGTTCAAATCCCTGCAGGGGTGTCCCAACTTAGCCCATCACAAGCTCTCACGGTCAATGAAGGATATTCCTTCTCCCAAGGCAATTCGATCAGACTCGGCATCCCGGTTACAAGACATCCTCGACAATGGTAAAACAAGTCCAGCAAGACCACCCGCTGTGCCGACAAATCTCGATAGGAGCTGCACATATCTCGTTCTCAGGGCACACCGGATAAGCAATCCGTACAACTAAAACCAGCCCTCGAGTTTCCCCGAGGTGGCGCTGCAAGGGGCTCTAGTTTGGGCCAACACTTAGACAAGCATTGCCCCGGGGGGGGGGGGGTTAAAATAAAGATGACCCTCGGGATGCACGACTCCCAAGGGAAAAATGCTAGGTGGCGAATGGTAAAACCAAGGTTGGGCCTTGCTGGAGGAGTTTTATTCAAAGCGAACTGTCAAGGGGTTCCCATTATAACTCAACCGTGTAAGGAACGCAAAATCCGGGAACATAACACCGATATGACGGAAACTAGGGCGGCAAGAGTGGAACAAAACACCAGGCATAAGGCCGAGCCTTCCACCCTTTACCAAGTATATAGATGCATTAATTAAATAAGAGATATTGTGATATCCCAACAATAATATCCATGTTCCAACAAGGAACAAACTCTAATCTTCACCTGCAACTAGCAATGCTATAAGAGGGGCTGAGCAAAGCGGTAACATAGCCAAACAACGGTTTGCTAGGACAAGGTGGGTTAGAGGCTTGGCTTAGCAACATGGGAGGCATGATATAGCAAGTGGTAGGTATCACATCATAGGCATAGCAAAAGAGCGAGCAACTAGCAAGAAAAGATAGAAGTGATTTCGAGGGTATGGTCATCTTGCCTGAGATCCCGCAAAGAAGAAGAACGAGTCCATGAAGAAGACAAACGGACGTAGCCAATGTATCCTCACAAACGCAACGTTACCGGATTACCGAGAAGAAGTACACCGGAAAGAAAGCAAACAACATAGTAAACAAGCATCACATAAGCATGACACGATGCGCAAACAAGTATGATGCATGTC